AACAAGCCAATCACAGATACAATAAAAAAGAAAACAAAAGAACAAGCCAATTACAGATACAATAAAAAAGAAAACAAAAGAACAAGCTAATCACAGATACATTAAAAAAAAAACAGAAAAACAAAAGAGTAAGACGATCATAAATAAAATAAAAGAAAAAAAAACAAATAAAGCAATAAAGTTCCATTGCAAATATTTATTAGAAACTAGTTGAAATCACTTGTAAACGTTTAAAACTATTTGCATAAATAAATTGAAACGATACTGTTAAAGTACATAAGTAAAAGTTATACACATAAATAAACAAATGAAGCAATAAAGTTCCATTGCAAATATTTATTAGAAATTCGTTCAAATCACTTGTAAACGTTTAAAACTATTTGCATAAATAAATCGAAACGATACTATTAAAGTAAATACATAAGTAAAAGTGTAGGATACACATAAATAGATATGCAAATGGATACTTTGATTTATTTTCAAAATAGTCAATGATTACAACGAGCAATTTTAACTGAAAGTAGTATCACTTTGCCATTACGATAACGTTACAAACATTACCGTTCTTTTTTTTTTTTATATGTTAAACTTAAATTGAATTTAAATAGAAAGAAGAAACACAAATTTCATGGAAACTTTAAAAGATAGAATAATCTACAAATAATAGATTCATTAAAAAAACAACTAACGTGAATTTTAAATAAAAAAAAATAAAATAAAATAAAATCAATTGAAAGAAATTCGATGTAATTCTTCGAAAGAGATTTAAACTTTTAAAATGACTTAATTTAAAATTTTTTTGATAATTAATTACGACTTATAATTACGCGATTTAATAATTAATTATAAGTTAATAAAAATTAAATGAATTATATATTAATAAAAATAATTAATTAAAAATTATATAAAAATTTTATAATATATAAATATATATACAGTATTCGTTAAAAAATAAAAAATAAATTTATACTTATTTATTTAATTAAATATTAAATTATATTGTTCTTAATTATTTTATATTTTAATTTTCTTTTTTTTTTTTATAGCACATCGTCGGATGCGTACAGTTACCAACTACTTCTTGGTAAATCTCTCGTTGGCAGACCTGATGATGTCATTATTTAACTGCGCCTTTAATTTTATATATCTTCTTAACTCTAATTGGCCCTTTGGGGTCGTCTACTGCACCATCAACAATTTTATTGCACCCGTGACCGTCGCTTCAAGTGTCTTTACCTTAGTGGTAATATCTTTCGACAGGTATGCCCTCAATCTTCTATCTTTTTTATTTTATTTATTTATTATTTTGTTGCTATATTTCTTCTTCGTCTTATATTAAACATTATTTGCATATTCATACATAATTTTTTCCATATATGTATGTGTATATGTGTTTTGAAATTTTTATACAACGTTGCATTTGCATACAACTACGTTTTCATTACATAAATTTATTTATAAAATAATTAATTATTTAAAAAAATAAAGTAAAAAGATGCAGGTAAGTTCAGTGCCATCTGTTGGTCATAGATTTCGATGAGTGTGCGAAACATTTGAACATAACCTCAACTTTATTATACCGCAACGTCATATTTTGACGATGATATTTTTAAATTGTCAAGTAAAAACGTCTTGAGTTAGTACTTAAGTTAAGTTAAGAGTCTTTCACTTACGTGAAAGAGTTTTTCTTTAAACAATTATTTCAGTATAATTTATTCCAATTTTCTTCGATTCAATCTAGAATATTGATGTTCATTGTAACGTCAATAATAATTTAGTAGTTGGTTGGATTTAACGTCAATTCAAATTCTGATTTTCATTCTAGGGGATTTGCTTTTCACTAAATCGAGAGTTTCAATTAATTTGTGTGGTATTTGTAATAAAATATTTTTTTTTTATGTCATATGAGTATTTTAATATACAATTAATACGATAATTGATATATTATATATTTGTTGTTGTTGATATTATTGATATTAAATTATTAAATAATAATAATAATAATAAATGTAGAATAATATTAATTTATTTACATTATTATATTATATTAATTATTTAATATTAAATTACATTAATATAAATTGTGATTAAAAATATTTAATTAATTTAATTTAATTTAATTTAATTTAAATAAATATTTAATTTTTATATTAATAAATAATTCTATTAATAATTGTATTAAATGCTAAATAATAAATTTTTATATTAAATTATAAATAAATAAAAATAATTCTATAAAATAATGTAGATTGTTATCATATTTGTTGATTTTCAAACAAAAAATCAACTTTTAAATATTAACTCGTTTGTTTATTAACATTTGTAATGTGTGTCACTCATTGACATACTTTGAACAGAATTAAAAAACGATTATGTTACTATAGTTGCATAAATTTGAATAAGATAAGGTTAAAAGATCTTTTTTTTTCTTCTTTTTTCTTTCTTCTTTTTTTCTTCTTCTTTTATTCCTTTCTATCTTTTTACAAAATCAATCGGACTTACAAGAAAACTTATCGATACGTTTTTATATCTATTCCGACTTTTAGAAAATGAAACTTTTTCCTATTCTTTTCTACTTTTCTTCTAAATCGAGGAAATTTATGAGAAAGAGAATGAGAACATGTAAAATGAAAAAATATTACATTACAACATTTTGCGAATGAAAAGAAGAGAAAAAAAAGAATTAACAAAATTACACAAAAAATCATGTAACATAACGTTGCAAAAATTTCGCATTTTTCTCTTGTTAATAATTTTTTTTTTTTTTTACAAAATTTTTCAAAAAAAAAAAAAGAGCAAAAAGAAAAATACAGTAGTTTAAATATTCGTGGTTTCTAAAATGGCAAGGTTCAGGTGGTCGTGTTAAATCCAAATAAAGTAAAGCAGAGTTTCGTGTTTCATGAAAAAGAAAATAGTAAAATGAAAAAAAGAAAAGAAGAAAAAAGCAACAGCAACGAAACGGAAGTTGATATTTTCTTCTGTTGATATATTTTTGCAATCCTTTCGCAATATATTCCAGTTTACCTTTATTATCGTTTAACTTGTTTATCCTTAGCACGTAACATATAAGATTCAAGTGTAATAAGATTTTGAATAACACAGTGAAACATATTACATCCATTACCTTTTTTATTTAACAATTGTACAGATATTTATTTTGATTTGTACAAAGTGTTAAATAAAAAATGTCAAAATCGAATTACCAATAATTGAAGTGAAAATTAGAATAAAAACGTTAGGTTAGGTTAATTTTTACAAATCAAAATGCAATTTGTTACAGTTTACAATTATTTGACAAAGTAAATAATTATAAAGATATTATTTTTTATTTGTAATTAAGTGTCAAAAAATTGAATTACCAATAAGCGAAATTGTGAAAGAAAAAAGAAAACAAGTTAGGTTAGACTAATTTTACAAAAATAAAAATTCAATTTGTTCAAGTTCTTCATTCTGTTATTTCTAATGAAAGTAATTAATGATTGATTTTACGGAAGATCTTTTTTTCATTTGATTAAAAACTTATCGAAACAATTTTCATTAGAAACTTCACTCTCGCGATTCCTTTTCTTTTTTTTTTTTTCTTTTTTTCTTTTCGTGTGTTTTCTTTTCAAACTTCTACGCAGTTTATAAAACTATGTCGATTAGATATTATGATCCTGTCAGTTGCAGATGTTCTTTTTAAATGTTCCTTTTTTCTTTATTGTTTTTTTTGTTTTTGTTTTCCTAAATGAACTTATTTTCTTTTTCTTTTATTTTTATTATGAAAAGAATTCATATCTCAGACCTAAAAGAAAGAAAAAAAAGAAAAAAGAAAAATAGAAAAAAACAAATCAAAAGAAAAATAATTGAAAATATTTTACTAAAGATAAATTTTTGTTTGTTTCTTTGTATTTTCAAATAATACACGTGCATTGATAATTAAAGATAGATTTTAATATCTAATGAAAAATTGCTGCATGAGACATTTTTATTTTCTCAAGGACGATATATACAAGGTGGGAAGAAATAATCTCGATTGAAATTTTAGGGGTGGAAAAAAATTGTTTTTCTAAGATTCCCTTCTTTTTTTTTTTTTTTTATTTGAGATAAGATGGCTTTTCAAGAATTCTTTTGTAAGCTTACAAGCTATAAAGCATATGATACTTTATCTTTAAAAAAAATGAGAGAAAGAGAAAGAGAATGAGAGAGAGAGAGAGAGAGAGAGAGAGACAGAAGAAGAAGAAAAAAAGCAACGAATCCGACGTTTTTCATAATGTTTTAATATCATTTTTTTTCTATTTTTTTTTTTTTGGGTTTCTTTTATACGTCTATTTAATTATTTCAATAAAAATGTGAAAATGTGATATTCCTTTTTTTTTTCTTTTTTTTTTTTTTTAACAAAATCAGAGAATGTTCGTATTCAGAAACATATAAAACATTCTTTTCTTGTATGAGAACTATCATCACGAAATACGTAATCCCATATTACAAAATCTCCTCTTGTTTTTGACATATTTTTCACTACAATAAAAGAAGCAATTGTTAATACTTAATTAAATGGAAAATAAATCCTTTAAAATAATTATTCGATATTATTTTATAATACATGTTGAGAAATAAAATTATTATGTCTATACTTCATTGTCAGTATTATATCTGTTATATATTATCAATATACATATGATTATTCATTTTATAACAAATGAAAAGAAGAATCATCGTGGGTAGAAACCAAACGCAATGTATAACCCAATTAATTAGATCATATTTATTAAATTAAAAAGAAAGAACAAGCATCATTCTCATGGTAAAAGAGAAATTCAATTTTATATATGCAAAGTGATTCATCAGCTATTGCCACCTAAATACCTCCGAAAATATGACAGTACCAGAATTATTATTATTATTATTATTAATATTTAAATAAAATAAATAAAAATCTGGAAATGTTTTCTTTAACAAATTAACTGTGCGTTGACGTGTATATTCGTCACGAATAAGTGGCAAAACAAATATATTCGTCATGGCTATTTAAATTGTAGTTTTTGTCCAAAAAAAAAAATGAAACATAAGTTGAATAAAGTTGCATAAAAAATTCAGTATTACAATATGATATTAGTATTTTTTGGTTAGGTTCAGCTATTTTCAAGATTTATTGGTTAACTTTGTTTTTTTAAATACAATGTTATATTTTAGTACTCATTTTCGGATAGTGGGTGTCAAGACGAATTTAACGATATGCAGCACTAATATTTTTGAAAGTCAACGAAGGTAGAAACTTGCGAAAAAGTCGGTTGCACGTCAGGTGGCGTCGTGGTCGCGTCAAGGTTGCGTCAACCTTCAGTTGTTTTGACAAAAGACGGTGAAGATATTTTCCGAATTGTTTTGTAATGGTCATCGTCATTTATCATACTTAATGGTGCACATCGTTGGATTCGTCTTGTCAGCCGCTATCCGAAAATAAGTATTGAAATATAACATTATATTTGAAAAAACAAAGTTGGTCGATAAATCTCGAAAATGACTCAATTTATCAAAAAAATACTAACATTCTATTTTAGTCCTGAGTTTTTGATGCAACTTTTTATTTATCCACTTTTCTGGTACTTTCATACTTTCGAAATTATTTAGATGGTAATAACTGATGAATCACCCTGTATGTATATTTATATGTGTGTGTACATATAAATGTGTACATCACTTTGTTCAGGTTTCTCTAACTCGTAGTTATAAAGTTCAAACGTTGGATGAATGGTTGTCAACGACAGTTAGAAAGAGAAATATAGAATAGAAAATAGTTTTGTAGTAACTCATGGTACCAAGTTTATTACTTATTTGATAATATAATAGAAAATACTACGTGATAACAATGATAACTATATACCATTGGATTTCATTTTAATTATTACTAACACCATTCTCGAATTAACTTATCTTACAATTTCATCTCTGATGTCAAATTTTCCTTAAACTTGATATCAACTCTTTTTTTATTGTTTATTCAAAACTTCTTTTTAATTGATATGAAATTAAAATAAATAATGTTTATATAGGTTTACGTAAAAAAAAAAAATTAAATCAAATAATATTTAATATAGAAATACAAAAATATTTGCTAAAATACGTACAAATAAAAAATTGTATTTATAGGTTAGGTTATAAAAAAATGTTTTAATCTAACCACGCGTATAAATATAATAAAAATAATAATAATGAAAATATGATGAGATAAAATCATATTGAATTTGATATAAAAGTATAACACGCGTGTGTGTATCATGAAATAAAAATGAAACTTCAACGTTTGATGTTGATTGATGAAAACGAATGAATTTTCTTCTTCGTAATTAATTTCAACCAAATACGAATTATCAAATAATATAACAGAAAAAAAAAGAAGACCACAAAAACCTTTACTCTGATAGAATTAAACATATATTTTTTTTTTATTCACGTCTTCTCTGTTGTAAAGAAAAAAAAAAAAAAAAATCAAAACAAAAAATGTACAAATTAAAAAGGAACAAAAATTTTCTTTACTTCCATAGAATTATATTTTTCTTTTTCTTTTTTTTTTTTTTTTTTTTATTTGTAAATTTTCTCGTTTGTGTTTTTTTTTTGTTTCTTTACAAGAGAGAGAAAAGATCAAAACAACCCATTCCATTTCACCGTTGAACATTCGTTGTTTGCTACAACGTTTTCGATAAAAATAGTGGCCTTGTTCAATATATATTTTACACTAATACATTTACCGATATACATACATGTATTTTATCCAATACACATACTATTATATACATATATATATATACTTATATAATAATATCGTACACATTTGTGATGTTGATGCGTACTTCGGAAGAAAATCTACTCAAGAAGATCGAAGAAAATTCAACGAGTTTTCTTTTACTACCAATTTAAAGACGTGGAAAAGCTAAAACATCGTTTTACAATTTTTTTTCTCCATCTTTCACCCTCTTTCACTCTTTCAACCCATCTCTCACCCTTTCTCTTTTCTTTAGGAAGGAAAAAGTAGTCATAGAAGTTGCTAGAAAGTTTGTTGATGCTTGGATATTATTACCACACGAAATTTTAGGGAAACGAGTATGAAAAAAGAACTTTAAGTTATTTTTAACGAAAAATAAACTTAAAATCAATATCTATATATATATATATATATATGTCTCATTTAAGAAAAAAATTTGAATAGCAAACTAAAGTTGTTTGTCGTACATGACAAAGAATTTCATTTCCAATTTTCTATTCAAGAAACAACCAATATGTTACCCAACGTTTTTTACATTTTTTTTCTACTTTCTTTTTAGTATTATTGTTTTTTTTTTTTTTTATTATTCTATTATTTATTTTCCACATATGTGTATAATAATATCGATTTAAATCGAAATGTTTTGAGTTAAATATAAAAAAAAAAAAAAAAAATAGTTCTCTTTGTTCCAATCAAAATTATAACTTTCATTTATAAAAGAGGTATTTGTTTTTTGTGTTCTTTTAAACAGAACAATTTGCAACAATTCATTCTATTTTATTATTATCTGTTTGATTTTTAACTTTAGTGTAACATAAAAAATTAATCTGCACGCACTCGTTTTATTTTTATTTTTTTTTTTCTGGGATGATTGCGTCAGGATTTTTTTTTCTGGGGTGGTTGTGTCAGAATTTTTTTTTTCTGGGATGATTGCGTCAGGATTTTTTTTTCAATTTCTGTATTTTGTTATTGTTAATGTTTTGTCAATCAATGGTAGCACGATTCTTGCGGAAACGTTTGAATTGGTCGAGTAAGATAAACGAGGAAAGAGTGTACGATATAAAAGAACGACATGATTCGCCCATGATATTCGATTAACGAAAAAATTCCATTAACGCAAAAATCGGTAAGCATCTCTCTGTTTTACGAGAAAAGCTCAAAGTACCTTGTTTTTTTCCTCTCTCTTGGTAGAAGAGGATTTTCAGTTGAAAGAACACGAACGCGTAAAGAAACACTTTGAGTATATGACCCTTCGTCGTTTACTCATTTATTATTTTGTCTCTTCTTCTTTTTCTTCTTTTTTTTCTTGTTTATTTTTTTCTCTCCTTTACACATTAATAAAATAATTAAATTTGTATAATCATTATTTTATACTATATATTAATGTTTAAAATATTTCCAATTTTTGTAGAATATTATACGATGTAATATTAAAATATTTATAAATATCGTGCATCGATAGCAAATATATATTCATAAATTGTTATAAATATTGTAATCTAATTAAAAATATATATATATATATATTCATTAAAGAAAGCAAAAATAATTTATTTAAAAATCACGATCCAAATAAACATAGTCCAATATATTTATATTTTGTTTCAAATCAAAAATTTATATACTCAAAACCAAAAGAATGAAAAAAATCTTCCAATAAGGGAACATATATTTATATATTAATATAATATTTTATATATATACATAAAAAAAAAAATGTGTAATTCATCGATATTTCCGATCATGCCAAGATTTTTCCTATTGGATTAGATCCAAGTTATCGCGAATGATATCACGTCGTCCTTTTATTCGTAGAAATCAGAAAAAGCTTCTTTGAAACAAAGAAAGAAAAAGTACACCTACGTGTCTGTATGTATGAGAAAAAGTGAGAGAGAAATAGAAATAGTGAAGAGTAAGGATGAAATAGGGGATCATTTCATCTTTAATATCAGACTTTTAGTTCAATGAAAAGGGAAGAAGGAGAAGCTCGGTTTGAGCAGCTTTGAGATTCCGCGAATATGGAACATTGCAAATAATCGTGTTGTTCAAAGCCTCTTGGTTTACGCACCCTTAAATGGATTAGTTTCAACCCGCCCTCTCTCTTTTACCCTTTCTGTCTCTGTCTCTTTCCCTCTATCTCTTTCGGGAATTTCTAGAAACCAAAACAAATAGCGTCGTCTTGAATATATCACTTTGTCTCATCCCTTCATCACAGTCACCTCAACCCTACCCCTTCAGACTCATCTTTCTTTTTCGTGTGTCGGCTTAATGTTTATCTGATAAATTATTCGATGTTTTAGATAACATGTGTGACCAAATAAATCGATTGGTATTGATGATAGACAAACAAAAACATGTGTTGAAGAAAACTTATTTGATTTAAAGGGTGGCATCATTTTGTTCATTTTATTATAATAGGTTTATACATGTATATATGTATTTTTATTATATTATTTATTATACATTTTATAATTTCAATTTTTATATTTTACGTTAATAACACATTTAAAGAACCAGAATAATAGAAAATTATTTTTCAACATAATTGATTGCGCACAACTCTTACAAAAATGTTATAATTACAATTAAATTGAATAAAATATTACAATATTTTTATCTACTTTGACAATTTTTGTTCAATCATCAATGATAATCGATTTATTCAGGTGTATAACACTTTAAAAGTATCTTCATTTTCTATATAAATGTGCCTAAATATAAATGTGCTTGTATATAAATGTGTATGAATAATAAGTCTGTTTGTATGTATATATATATATTTATTTTGTCAATTGTGTTAAATAGATCTAATAAAACTTGATTAAGTCCTTTGATACCTGCATATAGTTAATTATGTACCCCGTTTCAGATACATGGCTATAATGTATCCTTTGAAAAGACACATGTCCCGAAGGAGAACTATATTAACTTTGATTTCAATATGGACAATTTCGTCCATCCTAGCTATACCCAGTCTGTTATATTCTAAGATCACAAAGACAAGGTAACTAATGATATCAATTACATATCTACATTTATACATTTCAAAGAAAATCTATACCTTACGTTTGTATTATTATTAATATTATTACTATTGTTATTATTATTATTATTATTTACAGATATTCAAACAATAAAACAAGGATTTCTTGTTATTTATCTTGGCCAGATGGAAAATATTTGAATAGTAAAACTGGATATTCGTAAGTAAAATTTATTTCATTTAAAAAATTTATATAATTGTATAAAAATATATAAAAATATATTCTATTGAAATAAATCTTTATTTGTTTTTAATTTGAACGATAAAAAAATTGATATCAATTAATTTCGTGATATTTGATAATTAAACGAAGTTTTTTTTTGCATCAGAATAAGTTAATTAAAAAAATAAAATTAGCATATGCCTGTTATTAACCACATAAGGTATTACATTATCATACATACCTACATATACATGTATACATACATTAATACATACATACATGTCTATGCTGTAGGGAATTCTAACCCTAATTACTTCAGTCTAATTAAAAATAATTACACATTTATTGTTCGTGAAAATTATTACTTATTGTTTTTTGCATTTCCTGTAATAAATAATTGGATTAAATAATTATAGACTCTAAATGTGTATATGGAATTATAAAAATCAATGAGGAAATTTTCAAATGAACATAAAAATGATGAAATATAAAAATTGTTTTATCTACTCGTCACGCAAAAAGTTAAAAATAAACGAAGATAAATTTTTCAATAATTTATCAACGTGTTAATAAAAGCTAACAAATGTTTGTTCTTTCTTTTATTTATTTATTTATTTATTTATTTATTTATTCGTGGTTCTGTTTGTTTCAGCTATGATATACTGTTTTTCAGTATGACATATCTTATTCCAATCGTGCTAATGGCTGTTTTTTACACTCTGATGGGTCGAAAATTATGGGGTTCGAAGTTCATTGGTGAACTTACGCATAATCAAAAAGAATCTATTAAATCTAAACGCAAGGTATAAATAAATACATCAAAATCTTAAAATGTTTTATTTATTCAATTAAATGTGTATTGACGAGTATACTCGTGACGGAATAAGTGGCAGGACAAGTATATTCGTCATGGCTATTTAAATTGTAATTTTTGTGGAAAATAGAATTATAGTAGAAAATAGAATGGCAGTTCATTTTATTTTCATATAATGTATTTGAATGAATTTCACTAGAATTTCCTAGAATTTTAATAGCTCTTGTAACATAAATAGCTCAGAAAATATGATAGTACTATAAAAGTGGATAAAAAAAAGGTTGCATGAAAAATTGAGGACTACAATATAGAATTAATATTTTTGTGCAACATTGAGTTGTTTTTGAGATTCATTAGTCAATTTTGTTTTTTTTAAAACAATATTATATTTTAATACTTATTTTTGGATAGCGGCTTTCAAGACAAATCCAACGATATGCCACACTAATATTTTTGAAATCCGACGAGGGTCAAAATTTACGAAAACGTCGGTTCCGCGTCAGATAGCGCCGCGGTCGCGTCATCCTTCACTTGTTTTAACAAAAAACGGTGCAGATAATTTCCGAATTGTTTTTTATTGGTAATTATCGTTTTTTATATTTAATGTTGCATATCGTTGGATTCGTCTCATCAGCCGCTATCCAAAAATAAGTATTGAAATATAACATTATATTTAAAAAAACAAAGTTGACCAATAAATCTCGAAAATGACTCAACCTACCAAAACAAAACCACTAATACCATATTATAGTCCTAAATTTTTAATGCAACTTTTTCCTAATCCACTCTTTTGCTACTCTCATACTTTCGGAGCTATTCACGTGGAAAGATTTGGTGAATTATCCTGTATATCTAAGGCAAATCTTTTTTTATACAGTTAACGTTACAAAGAATTCAACAAAGAGATATCTCGAAATATTCCTTTCTAGAAAATTCATTCGTGGTTGAACACAGTAATCGTATAGGATAACGTTGAAAACGAGAATCTTATCGATCCTTGTACAAACCTAAATACACACTCGTCAGTACATGGTGAGAAATCCTAAATCCCCTGTAGGATTAGGTTGGTTATTCGAAGTTGAGATCGTACCGATGTGTCCATTTAATGTCCGATCCAAGTCAAATCCTTTTAACATCTTCCATTCTTTGTTATTTTTCTTTTTCTTATTCCACTTCTTCTTATTTTTTATCTTAGTTTGATAAAAATATTGTCAATAATTAAATGGTCCAATCAAATGGTTCTCAATTATTATTATATTACTCTTCTTTTCATTTTTCTTACATGTATATATTTGTATATATTTTTTGTTTATTTACAGGTGGTGAAAATGTTCATCAGTATCGTTACGATATTTGCAATATGTTGGTTTCCGTATCATGGATTTTACATATTCGTTTATTTCAGTCAAGATTTCGTTCGTACGAGTTATGTTCAACATGTTTATCTAAGCTTTTATTGGTTGGCAATGTCTAATTCTATGGTGAATCCTATCATATATTATTGGATGAATAATAGGTATATATATATATATGATTGTTATAAGTATTTAAAAATAATTTGTAATAATTTATATTTGTTATGAAATAAACAATCTTTTTTTGATTACAGATTCAGAGTATATTTTCAATTGATAATTTGCAAATGTTGTTGTACTTTGGATCGAACGAACGTGAACAGCCCACAAATGCGAGAATTTATAGAATTACATCGTTCCGGTCAGGAACGTTGCGGTAAGTGCTCTTATGGGGTAGATCTGTCTTGAATGAAAATTAAATTTTCATTTAAAAGTAAAATAAAAATAATAGAAAAAAAAAATAACAATAAGAATTAAAATGATATTATTTTTATTCAACAATAATATGACATTCTCTTCCAGGAATATTATTGAAAGTTTTATTGGAAAATAATTTAATTAAAAAATATTTAAAGTGCCGCATAAAAAAAAAAAAACATAAAAATATAATATTTGGTTTTTTAAATAAATTCATTCAATGTGGTTTTAAATAATTGTAACATTTTTTTGTTTCGTTTAAATATAATTCGTTTTACAAGATCGTATTCTCAGTTTTAAACTCAGTTTCATTATAAACTCAATTTTATTTTTAACTCAATAATAATTTGTCTACGACAAACTATTATAGACTATTAGATTATTATTATTATAGCAAAGCAAGTTTTAAACGAGTCAACTGAGATCAAAGTATATTCTTGATAAAAATAATGTGAGAAACAAAGCGTGTTAAGTTTTTATCCACCATGGATCAAACTACTTTTTAACTTTAGATTCCAGTAAAAGTTACATAATGTTTTTAATACATTACAATGAACTCTATACGTTTCTATTTACAAAATAAAAAACAAAAAATATCTACTCTCTCTCTCTCTCTCTCTCTCTTTAACACAATTTCGTGATTTCTTATCATAAATATTTTTACATTTAAAAACTTTTTTATGAAACATTGTTTTCCATTTAATATTTGCATTTGTAAAATATGTTCATAAATTTTCTACATAACACACGTGTATATATGTATTGATTTATTATCGTGTTTTCAGTTATGTAATATGTTTACAGTTGTGTTTTATACGTTTAAAGGATCAAAATAAAGAAAAATGTAAAATATTAAAAAATAAACAAAAAATATATATATATATATATATATATAAGGATTAAAATGAATAAAAATAAAATAAATAAAAATATAAAATAAATGAAAATATAAAATAATAAAAAATAATTAAAAAAAAAAATAATACGTTAAATGATATATTAAAAAATAATATATATTAATTTATATTATTATTTTTTATTTAATATTTAATATTAATAATATATATAAGAGTATTAGAAAGGAAGGTAAATGTTTAATTAATTATTTTTACAGGACGTTCACAATCAACATCGATAAGATGGCGTCATTGTAGAGGTGGAAGTCCCGTTCGAACATGCAGGGTGGATTCTCGTTCAAATAACGAAAATCGTTTTACCAAAGAGGAAATGGTTTTCATTTGATAAAATAAACAATTAAATAAAAAATAAAAAATCAAAATAAAAACGAACATTTTTAAGTAAATATAATTTTTTTTTGACAATCGAAAGACTAGCCCCCATTTTGTCATTTTGAATTATAAAAAAAAATAAAATTTGAAAGAAAGATGAAATATATTTAAATATATATATATACAATGTGTTATGTTCTTATTTTATTAAACCAATCGAAAGAATTGTACAAAAATGTTTGGTTTTCATTGCGATCGATTTTATCATATATTGAAGAATACATTCTCATACATCCGCCGAGTTTTAATATACTGTGAGATATGTGTGTGTGTGTGTGTGTATGTGTGTGTAATATTTAACATTTATATATATAATATATTTTTCAAAAAGCTTTTCGCAAATAAAAAAATACTTTGCTCACATATGTGAAAAAGAAAACGTGATATAAATATTATATAAATACAAACATAAAGACAGATTATATAATAATATTATATATATAAATATTTTATCTATTATTTATTGTATATAAATATATACTATATAAAATATATTCGCGTAGGATCTTTCTATCTCGAATAAAAAAATTATAATATCGTTAAGGGGAAAAAAAAAAAAAACAATTTGTATATCAACGTTCTTTTCTGTGAATAAATTCAATGTAAACGTTTAGTCGAGTTTAATCTTCAAATCACACATGACCAATTTTTCATACCTACGTATATTTATGATTAATTCATTTGAAACAAAATATTATAAACATTTTCATAAGATGAGAGTTTATTAAAAAAAAAAAAAAAAAAAAAAACGATTAAAAGAATAATAAAAAATTGAAATAAAATAAATATTAATTGGATAAATATGTGTTTTAATATAAGAAAAAAAAAAACAAATACTAGCACTGTTTATTTGGATGAAAATATCAAATATTTATTGAAACAAAAAGAAAAACATAAAAAAAAAAATTAATTTTTTTAATAATACAAAATAAATTTATAATCTTATAAATTTTATTTAATAAATAAATTCTTATAATTAGAATAATAAAAGAATAATTTTTTTTTTTATTTGAATAAATTTGGCCCCATGAATTCTAAAGTAAGAGAGTTCTTTTGAAACTGTAACCAGAAATATATAAGAAGATTTATTAGGTAGGATTTTGAATAGGAGAACAAGATGATAGACCATGTATTACCATCTATCTTATTAGAGCTTTCCATTCACTCTACGAATATGTGATAATGTTCTCATAAATCATAATTATTCTATGGTTCTATGGTTATTTTTTTAACACTAAAAAAACCTAACACCCTATGTCAAAAATGACAACTTTCTTATAATTTTAAAATTGTTAAAAAAACAAAATGCTATTTTTAAATACACTGTTTTATTAATATTTATGCATTAAAATCATTTATAAATAAAAGAAAATATTTTCTTCAGAGATATTCTTTTTTTTAAAACAGTCATCGTTAAAACATACACCTTAGGAATAATGTTTAAAGTTTAGTGTTAATTATTATCACGTAACATTTATATTTTTATTAACATCATGCAATAGGTGACCTAAATATGGTATATGGTAAGTATACGTGTGTCAAGGTTTTTTTTTTCTTGCATAACGTGCAATTATAAACTATCTCAAATTATATATATATATTTATTTATTTTTATTTAATTTTTATTTTTTTATTAATAAATATATACGTATTATTTTTGTTTATTACATTTTAATTTTTTTTATTAATATATATATTTATTTTAAATAAATATTAATTTTGTATTGATTTTTAATTTTTTTTTTGTCATGAAGATAAATTTCTTTTTCTAACTAAAAAAAAAATAAAAAAAAGTAAGTGAAGTAAGAGTGTCACAAGATTTGTTTTATTCGAATAGAAAAAAAAAAGACATCGAATCTTTTGTTCTATTGAATTGGACATTCCCCTTGGATCAGAGCACTTATGTTGGTTAAGAAAAAAAAAAAAAAAAACCAAAAAAATAAATCGACAGTATTAAGTCTTCGATAAACATGCAATTTGTATGTCGATAAAAATAAACCAAAGAGCCACATTTTTCCCTATTATGTCAGCATATTTATCGAATATTATTCATCGTTCCTTACATCTGCGTAGAATTTTTTGTTCTCTCTCTCTCTCTCAATTTCTCTCTTTTCCTTTCCCTTTATTTTTATTCTCTCTCTTTATCTCTTTCTTTTCTTGTGTGTGTGTGTGTGTGTTATTCTTTTATCCCTTTTTTATTCTTCTTTTTCTTCTTCTTATGAGAGAAAGCTTATCATCCGAATGGATTTGTTATTTGAGAACGAGAAAAGAAGGATTTTATTATAAACATTGGTTTCTTTTTTTTTTTGTCCTATTTTTTCCATTTATTATTTGAACATACTATAATAACAGTAATAAGGGTAGCACAAATTATTTATTAATGTTATATTATACGTTTGACGAGAATATTGTGATCATTAAATGTAAATTATGTTTGTTAGTTTGTTAACCCTTAGAATGCTATTGACGCATATACGCGTTTGGTAAAAATTACCAGAGTGGTCTATCAACGCATATACGTGTTTGTTAATATTAATGTAAAATAATGTAATGTTTATATTAATTAATATTAAATTATATTCAAACAGAAAGAAAAACTTCAATTATTAAATATAATTTATTATTAGAATTTAGTTAATAATAAATTATTTCGTAAAAGTTATTTATTATTTATTTATCTATTTATTTTTATTTTATTAACAACGAGAGAAAAATCAAAAGAAATATTAGAAAAAAAAATTATCTTAAGAGAGAACTAATGAAACTAAAAAAAAAAACAAACATTTTTTTTACAACAATTTTGGAACAATTATTTACTAAATAATTACTTAATTATTTAATTAAATAATTAAATAATTATTTAATTACAATTAAATTACTTAATTATTTTATTCATATTTACAATGTATCATTTAATGTGTATTTTCTTTATTTTTATTTTTATTTTTATTTTATTTTATTTTATTTTTTGTTTTACATGAAAAAAGTACTAACAAGATTCTCGTTATAAGAAACCTAAAGGTAAAAGTTACATCATGTATTTTATCTGGTTTGTTACTTTTTGATCCCTTTTCTTTCCTTTTTCATTCCTATAAAATTGGGATCAAAAATGATGAGATTCCTTTTTTCTTCAGTCGAGTTGGAGAAAATTAAAGGTCTTGTTAATACTTTTTTTTTTTCTAACTAACCTGGATAAATGATCCTTTTTTTTTTGAATTTTGTTCTTTTTTTTTTTGTAAACAGCAAAAAACATTAACAGCTTGGTGAAAATGAGAAAGTATTTATATAAATAAACTGAAAATGAGAAAAATGTAATTTGAATATCCAGAGCTCGTTTGATGATCTCATTTACGAATAAATTCTACACCCTATATGAGGAAATAAAATACGATTAAAGTGTAAATTCTTTTTCCCTTTTCTCATATATATATATGTGCATGTATAGCGAGTGAATCGTTAAAAACTAGCTAGTGAAATAATTCGATTATTATTTTCAAAGTAGATAGAAATGTGTCAGATAAAATCAAAAGTTTATATCAAAATGATATTAAATGTTGCATCAAAATTCAAATCTTATTGGTTATAGTGAAATTTATATTCTATTTTTATTCTGGTTTATACAGATATATACTTTTATTATTTTAAATTATATTTTTTTTTTTTAAATTAATTTTTACTTAAATTATCATTTTATTTAGATATTCTATTTTTATTTTATTTTATATATTATATTTTATTTTATGTGTGTTCTATTAGATTTAAAACATATTATATAAAATAGTTTAAGAAAATATTTGCCTCTCATTCTATTTAAATAAAAAAATTAGTTAAATATTCTAACAAAATTAATAATATGCAATTTAATTATCTTTAGAATCGAATAAATTTTGTCTAAACACGTCACCGATATAGCAATCCATTTATTATAATATATATATGTATACCTTCCCCCAAATCTAGAGATCAATTTTCCGCAAACTTATGCCACGAACATAATGAAATGTTCATACTAATTAATTGTTTATTAAGGTTTCAATTACAATCTGATTCAATCAATTAATTTAAATGTTATATTTATTATAGACTTTTAAATATATATTTCAGATTTAGTGTTTATATGTGTGCCTTCAGAAATGCATTTATATATACATAAAATGGAAAAGAATCAAAAAGGTATGTTGTTAAATCCAACGAAGATCACCTGTAACAAAAAGAAAACTATATTAATCATACAATCAAGTGATATGAAGTAGCCTAACATATGAATCGTCCAATTCGTAGATGCACTTTTCAA